CTTTCACTGAAACGCGGAATGGTTCGCAGGTAATGCTCGATTATCCGTTCCCGCCACCCCTATCTCGCGATTGGCACCGCACCGCGCGCGCCAGTTAAACGACCCCGATAAATTCTGTTTACGACGCCGTTTTCAGGCCGATGCATTTTCACCGAGCTTTGATCTTGAATATCATCGCGCGGCGATCGCGGTTTCGAGCTGCCTCCGCGGGGGTTAAGATCCCGCCGAGATTGCCGCCGTTTCCGAGGCCGGATCGGCTCGCGAGTCGTCAGCGGCCAATTCCCACTTGGCTGGCTTTAATGCGGCCCGGGGGCGATCGTTCCGCTGATGGTCTCTTTTCGTTGATTGCGATTGCCCCGCTGGAATTTTTATTTTCACCCCGGCTTTTAAACCGAACCGGTGGAACCTCTGAACGCCTGGGTGGCTCGGGACAGTAATTGAGTGGTTCGAACGAAGAAACGGATTTTTTTACTGGTTTCGATCCTCGGACTGTCGAGGAGTTAGTCATTTTAGAAAAATAACGATTCGATATATTCGAACGAAAGACGAGTATCTATTAACAATAGCGAATTAGAGACTTAACGTCGAAGTTAATGCAACAAAATATTCGAAGATCAACGAGTTTCCATATTTTATTAAATACGTATATTTATTCCTAGTTCTCGATTACTCAAGATCCACCTTTTCATTATCTATACTGTAGTAACACTATATTATGAACGTGGTGGAAGCCAAAATTGAGAGACATGAGTTGTTTCGTATATTTTAAACTATATTGAAACAAAACGAATATGTGACTTAGTTTCATAATTGTAAGGATATAGAATGGCTTCTAATGAAAACAGAGTCTTATTAACGTTCTCTTAACAGAGAATTAAATTTTATATTTTTTCCAATGCTGCAATGGTAATTGGCGAAGTTGCATAGCTAAAAAAACTCAGATATCATACTGTTATGTAATATATTTTAAATAGATAATCGATTCGAATTAAATTTTATATTTTTTTAATGCCGCGGTAATTAGCGAAGTTGCATAGCTAAGTGTCTTTATAGAAGAACGAGATTTCTCGTTACCGGCACGCAATGCGTTAAGAACGTCAGCCGTGTTCGCGATCCGTTACAAGCGTGAGACGCGCACGCACGCACGCGAAGCAAGGAAAGAGGCTTCCAGAGAATGTGCGAAATTTCGATAGCCAGCACTCCATGCATGGGGCTGGCGGTGTTATCGTCGTCGGACATGCGCGACACGCAGACATCGGGCTGGCCACGTGCTACCGTCGCGACGCGTCGTGCGTCGGGCCGACGATTCGCGGCCGAGCATCACGTTCGGCCGTCAGGGATCACCGCCACGTGTGGATCGATAGTAAATCCGGCGGCACGTGATCGCGATCTAGAGGGGGAAATTCCACGGATTTTTCGCGGAACTTCGCGAAGAACGCTGCACCAGCTCCACGTGTAGCCATTGATGGTACGCTGGTCACGTTGCGCCAGGTAAAATGGCGGCCGTTTGCGTACATTCCCGTTTATACCCGTTGATACGTAATTAACTGAATGATTTATCAAAGGAATTGTGAGATAGGAAATTAGAGTCTTCGCTCAGCTCGCGATTCAATGGAATTGAATGTTTCATTAACCCTAATCGGATCATGATGCGACTTTGATTCACGTTTGAACTTTTTATTTAAATTCTTTCGTTGTTTCGTATTGCGACAAAAACAACAACATTTTAATCGTTCATTTTGTTCTCATAAGTGACTGAGAGATGTGGTATGATTCGTTATGAAAACACATGGTACGATTAGGATAACTAAGGATAATTAGGATAATTATTATACTAATTCATCTGTAGAGATGAGAAGCTTGGAATTTATGAATCTCACGAGGTGTTTTCTATGTAATCATCATTTTTGTTAAGGATAACTGGAAATTTCGATTTCTGCAAAGCTTTTTATGCTTCATGATTGATTCGTGAATTAATAATGTTTGTGATGTTGTGTTTATTATATTCAGTTTGAAATATCTCTGCTTGAATCTTTGAGATGAATGGATGCAGATAAGTGCAAATGGATGCGAACTATCAGAGTAATTTATTGGATATTATTTTCATTATTGTGATTCGTGTTGGGAATATCCGAGCCAGATAAATCATTCTGATGAGCTTCGTTTCCAAAGAAATCTCGAAGATATGGGTTAATAATACGATTAAACTGGAATTCGCTGACCGCGTGCTACGTGAGACTATTGCAAGAGGCTGCTGACAGGGGTAGGAGCAGAATAATTGCTGGTGTCGCAGAAAATCTCGCTTACGCTTACCCATCAACGCAGCTGGGCACCGTAATTTCGGATCCCGGTGTCAGGCTAATTGCTCCGCTCGAAATATCTGAGATCGCGTGTCGCCGCGGGTCGAATGTGTCGTCCGAGCATCTTCTGTTAGACGAGATGAACGCTGAACGGTCGTATTTTCGGAGATAATGATATTTCAGCAATAATAGGCATCTAGATAATCAGAATAAAATAAGGATAAAATTAATCTAACTGTTAATGTTGAATGTGATATTGAAGTCGATGATGGCTAGGTGAAACCGGTGGCAAAGGTCACCATTTTCAGCTATTCAGAACACTGCTATAACAATAAAATCTTAAATGTTACAATTTATAAAATGAAATGTCACGATTTGGATTAGAACATTGCACTACATTATTATATGATGACTATATTATGATTATATTATTATTATTATTATTGTTATTATTATTGTCGTTGTTATTTTATTATAATTGCATTATGATTATATTATTACTATTACTATTACTATTATTATTATTGTTGTTATTACTATTTTATTATAATTACATTATGATTATATTATTATTATAAATTTAAATAATCCAAAGTTCCAATAGCATTGACGAAAACTGAGAACGAAACGACTCACCCTGTACATCACGGCGAGATCTGAAAGGAATTAGACTTCGACCCAAAAAAAAGTGTCGAGCGCCCCCCGGGAGCCGCGCAAACGGGGTTAAGTTCGAGCGGGCTCGGTATCGTCTGCTGTCGATCATCCTCTATCTCGGCGAGTTTTCCGCCGGCGGATTTTTCGGTCGGCGGGCCGAAAGCAACGCAACGGAAACGCGGTCGTGCAGCTGGCCGAATCTAGGCGTCCAGGATATCACGCGCCGCTATGTTGATTGCACTTTGAAATTGGGAGCGATATATCTGCGGGGGGCGATATCTGCATAAGTTTGACAGGCCGAGTAGAAGATGGAGCGGAGCCAGTCGATACAGGGACCTTTAGGCTAATCGGGAATCCCCATTGATTACGCCCGACAACATGAGAAGCTCGGAGTCTGTGAATCTGAACAGGCGTTTTCTATGTAACCAACATTTTTGTGCTTCCAGGTAGTTGTTCTTGAATTGGGAG